CTTCACCATGAAACAAAAGCAGTGAGGGAAGGCTACATCGGAATTGTCTTTGTGTGTGTACATGTGTGTATACGTGTGCATGTTCATTGGTGTGGACATAACGGCACATGCAACATGGAGGCCAGGGGTCAACCTGGAGGTCATTCCTCAGGTTACACCCCACCTTGCTTTTAAGACAAGTTCTGTCACTGACTTGGAACGTGACGATACGGCTAAGCCGGCAGATGCTGGACCCCAAGAATCGGGCTGCCTCCACCTTCCTGGCTCTGGGGTTATAAGCACATGCCGTCTCACCTGATTTTTCATATGGGTTTTGGGGTGTTCATGCTCACACCACAAGCACTTTAGCAACTGAGCCATCATTCCCGCCCCCACCCCCACCCCAGGAATTTGTAATCTTGGGAAATTCACAGCGAACTCACAATGCTCTCATTTCTTCAAAGTCTTAGTAGGAAAACAGTGAAGTGCACTGTGGCTCCTGGATGTGAAACACTATTCTGGACGAGTGCAAGGATAAGGTGACCACCATCCCCTGCTTTCCAGAGACTGTCCAAGGGGGAAGGAAGAGCTGGGAAGAGTCCCTTTGCAGAGGGGACGGAACTTCAGGTTCTGGGCCAAGGTGGGGGTTTCCGCCAGGCGGATGCTGGGGTGAACCTCATATCAGTGTATCTGATGCAGGGGACTGGAAGACGTGTTTGGTAAACAACGGTCGGCTGCAAGAGGAGCCGGGAGAGTTTATAGGGGAGGCCGGCTTCCCCGGTAAAGTCATCCATAACCTGAACTTTCTAGAAGATGAGCCTATCAGTCAGTTTGTAGGCAGCCAGGCAGGGGGGTGGTGCTGATGTCTTGAAGGAGACTGTGAACTCGTTGGGAAAGCAGGGATGCGTGCAGAGAGCTGTTGATGAGAGTGTGGAAAAGGAATGCAGGGACCTGAGCCCCTAGGTAAGTGGATCTCAACCTTCTTCCTAATGCCGAGTCCCTAGTGTTGAGGTGACCCCCAACCATAAAATTCTTTCCGTTGCCACTTCATAACTATAATTTTGCTACTATTATGAATCGAAATGTAAATATCTGATATTCAGGATATTTTATATGAGACCCCTGTGAAAGGGTTGTTCTAGTCCCACCCCCCCCACCCCAAAGGGGTCACACCCCACAGCTTGAGAAGCACAACCCGAGGTGGTCCTAAGAGGAGAAAAGGGTCTCTGCTCAGAGCAAGAAGACGAGGCAGGAAGCTGGTGCTTCCCAGGAAGGAGGGCAAACGGTTCGTGATAAATGATTCACAAGGTCTCGTGCACCACAGAGGATAGAAGTGGTCACTGAGACTGGAAGTTGGAAAGGGAACGAAAGTACTTCCCCACAACACCACACACACACACACACACACACACACACACCGCAGTGTGTGAGGCACGGGCTCCACAGCAGAGCCTCCAGTCAGTCCTCGCAGACTGGCCACAGTGAGGGCAGAGCCGGGTCTGGGAAGGAGAGAGAGCTGCTTGGAACCCGGAAGCAGTTGAGGAGAGTCCTGGAATCAGAAGCGTGATTACAAGTGTGGTTCTCATTGAGGTTTTCTTCTCCCACCTGACCCTGCAGAAACCATCTGGGTTCCTTCCCATCAACTGAAGACAAGATTCCGTCATACAGGAGGGCACAAGTGTGTTCTTCAAAGAAATGGGCTGGAGAAAGATGTATTAAATAACAATAATAATTTTAAAAAACAGATGATTTCATCTTTGAAAAACGTGATAGGAGCTGGAGAGGTGGCTCAGTGGTTAAGAGCCTTGGCTGCTCTTGTAGAGGATCTGGGTTCAATTTCCCCACATCTACATGGAGGGTTACAATAATCTGTGACTCAGGTTCAAGGGACCCTGGCACCCTGTCTGCAGGCACCAGGCACACACATACATGGTGTACATGCACACACGAAAGCAAAACACCCCCACACATAAAACAAAAACAAACCTTTTTTATCTTAAAAAAAATTTAAGACAGGGGTACTTCCAAATTTCACACTCTCTTTACAGATATTCCTACTGCTAAGGAAACTGCCAGCCATGCTCTTGGGAGCTTTGCAGAATCAGGGGACAGGCCTGTCTCCCACAGACAGCTCTATTTCCAGCTCTACTCCCATTGCGTGGCATTTGGATAGTGTCCTGTCAATGACAGAATGGTTCTCCAGTGCCACAGCAGGACCATCTGCCAATGGTGACTCTCTCACAGTCACACGAATGGATCTATTAATTAGAGGTTGACTGTTGAGTGTCCAGGGGCACCAATGTTGATGAACGCCTTACCTCTGGGTTCCATTATCAACAACTGGGTCCTACAAAGCCAACATGTTTCTGCTTGAGAAATATGAGGCCCCATCTTAATCTTTTCTATTGCCATGGTGACTGCTATATTTTGACCCTGGTAACTCAGCACCTCCCTTAGTTACTAAAAGTTGGACACTGTTGGTCCATGGAAAGTTATAGATATACGCGCACGTTTGCCAGTGGAGAGGTCTGGAGAACAGTTCAGTGGGTACTGGCCTACACAGGCGTGAATAACTAAGTCGAGATCCCCAACACCCACGAGAAAGGCAGAATGGCAGCATGCTCCTGTAACCCTAGTGATGTGAGGGCAGAGGATGCACAGGGGTTCACTGGCTAATCAATCTAGACATATTGGCCAACACTCTAAGAGACTCTGTCCCCCCAAGTAAGATAAAATAGGGGAAGAAACCTAACTGTGGCCTCCATAATCCCACCTGAGCACACATACGTATCACACACACAAAACACATACGTGCCCACCCAAATCGATAGCTGTAGCTGTCTCTGCAGTTCAACAAACCCCTGGTGGTGTGGATTGTATTTCATTTACTTATTACTAGTGAAAGTGACAAACGGGAGTGCTGAAATTTCAGAATGGTGTGCTAAATCTGACTCTCTGCTAGATGAGTGTTCCTCATGAGGACCCCTGACTTGTCTGTAGGAATTGACAAGCTGGGTACAGACGACTTGCCTTCTTCGCTCACAAATGAACTGCTTGAAGAGTTACCCCGAGAGGAAGCATGGGCACAGTTGGAGCTCAGGGTCAGAAGGCACATCTCAGCACAGTGTGCTGATAACTCTGTGCAATGAGGTGCTTGAAAGCACCCCACGGAGTATGTGGCACACACAAAGGTGTTAAGTATGACTTAGCAAAGTCACATTTTAACCTCAGAACCGTGTGCAGAGTTCATGACAATGCCAAGAACGAGAGCTGGTGTCCCCGAGGACAGTGCTTACACAAACGGAACACGAATCTAAAAGGTCTTATTAATAAAAACAAACCTGGATCCAGGTATGGGGGTGAACGCTGAAAGATCAGAGAAACCGAACAAGGCACATTCAACTGCACCTCACCAATTCCTCAGCTGATCTTGTTTCCTCAGACTGGAAGCCTCTGAGTCCTCATCCAAATGGATCTCAGCTGAACTGCTGCTAAAAGCTAAAAGCTTAACAAGCCTCTAGTTCTGGTCCTTGAGCCTTATATACCTTTCTGCTTCCTACCATCACTTCCTGGGATCAAAGACGTGTGTCTTTCCCAAACAAGACTTGAGATCTCAAGTGCTGGGATTAAAGGTGTGTATCACCTGGCCTTGCTGTTTCCAGTGTGCCCTTGAACTCACAGAGATCCGGATGGATCTCTACCTCCCAAGTGATAGGATTAAAGGCGTGAGCTACCACTGCCCAAACCTATGTTTAATATAGTAGCTGTTCTGTTCTCTGACCCCCAGATAAGTTTATTGGGGTGAACAATATACCAACCACACACAAAGGCACTGAAGTCTTCCATCTCAAGAAGAGCTGAGCTGTGTCTCTTTGGATGATAAAACAGATGATGGAATTAAGGTGAAAACCCTTGGAAAGTGGATTCCATTTTCACATCACCAAGAGCCTTCTACCTGGTGAGGGGAGAAGGCTTTCTCCAGAGCAGCAGTGCCCTTGACACTAGGGAACCCCAAGAGTAATCCTGGCTAGGGGTGCAGCTTGGAAACAGAGTGTGTTCTGAGGGGCAGGTGTCAATCTCCAGCACCAAAAACCTGACAACCAACTTAGACAATCGGGGAAACGCTGCAGAGCCGAACATCAAATTATCAGTAAAACATTCAAAGCCAGAGTCCTGAGGTGTAATGCCACTTGATGTCCACATGGGATATGATTTAGTCTCAAAGAAAGAAGAGGAGGCAGGTGATGTAACAGAGGATGACAGAGTGCAGGGCACTTTTACGTGCAATATAATTTACAGCATTTGCATTTCAACCATTTCTTTCTGTTAAGCTTCCCAAAGACGTCACGATATTAACAGACATGTAACTCTTTACTCCGCTTTTCAAAGTCATTGATCCTAAAATGAACGCAGCTGTGTGAGTATGACTGCCTCTTACTGTACTTCCCAATGAACTTAGAGAAAGAAATCTAATTCTCGGTGGGCAGTTCCCCTAATTCTGAAGAAACTGATGTAGCTTTTGAGAGCGATCATTTTTCAAAGAGGGGAAGCCATTCCTTGGCCTCTGCTCTGGTTTTATAGCAACATCCAGCACTTAGATGTACCATCTATATCTAGTCCTGGGGGATAGGGAGGATGGTGGGTGAAAGGGATCCATCACCCAAACAGGCTAGACAAGCCAGAGAGGGGGCGAGATGACCGCTTTCCAAAATAAAATGATGTTTACGCAGAGAATAACAAACTTTCTCATTCGCACATACCACCTTGACAATCATTAAAGCCTTCTCTTATGTTCACTGGGTCACGTTTTCCACCCCTAGTAGTTTGTAGAAATTTTTACTTTGAAATGGGGTGGGAACGGGGAGGTGGAAAGAACCATCGCCGCCCTAAAAGGAATGAGGAAGTGAGAGCTGTGTAGAGTCTGGCTGGTTCTCTGTGTGACAGCCCATGATGTTCCTTCCGGCCCCAGCAATATTCTGAGTTTCCACCTGCCCGCCCCCGCCACTTATAACGCACAGCACATGAGGCTGAGGGCTCCAGTGTCTCGTCTGTGGGTGGACTCCTAGGGTCAGGGTATCATGCTGGGTCTCCTGTTTTCCACAGTTCATTGGAGGTAAAAGAACTCTGGCTGAAGACCCTCCCGGGGTAAGTACTGTAGATTAACAGGACAGAACATAAACTGCCTTGGAGGTTGTGGGTCTTGGATCCCTGAGATTATAAGTCACTGAAGAAAAGCTCTGCCGAGAAACGTGTGTCTGTCTTAGAAGGACTCTGAACGCAGAATGCTCGCCTGCCATGTGACAGCTGCAGTTTGGGGGCCCAGGAATTCTGTAAATGTTGGATTTGGTTTCTGTATACCGTAACTAGTATCCTAGAAATAAATTTCTTTCTAACTTGGGTTTAGATGAGAGTGCAGAGCATTTAATATACGACATATGAGCTCTCAAAAAAAAAGTGCTAGTTGCTATAATTGTACTCAGATTCTCCTGATGAGAATGTAATTACGGACAACAAAGTTAGTTTCTGAGCAGCAAAGACATCTGGCTTAAGGAATTTAGGAATAACTTTCTCAGATGCTCTTCTTGATAATTTAGTAAGAAAGAGTGATTTTTATCTTATTTCATGGAAACCTAGGAATATTTATTTTATTTGGATAAAATAAATGCAAATGAAAAGTTGGATGAGATTCTCCTGCTGCTCTCAGTGGGAGGCTGGCTTTAAATTAAAACTTTTCTATCCAGTAGCTTTCAGCTCAGGACATTGTTATTGTTGTTGTTTTGGCAATCTGACTCTGACATTTGACTGGTTATTCTATTTTATAACTCTTTTCCTTTATGATGTATTGTAGACAGAATCAAAGCCGCACGCTAGTGAAACGCCCCCTTGGACTGTTAGCCCCAACTCCAATGAAGTTGACAAGCAGTCTGGATGTACGTGAGTCCTTCACACTTACTTATTGTCTTGTCCACAGACGAGAGCCAAAGAGACCTTCACTGATGTTATTTTTCTCTCTTTTAGTCAAAAACACTTAATGCCAATAACATGGAGACGTTGATTGAATGTCAGTCAGAGGTAAGAAAGTAATGTTTTTAACTTCATTTACACTGTAAGAAGAGGGAAAATGTTCTTTTTGTTGAATGTTTGGGTTGTTTATCAGTGTAAAGTGAACATCAGATTATAAATTAGACACATTGATTGAGCTCTTCTACAATAATGTTGACCTGAGAAGAATGCAGAGTCAATGCAATTGACTTAATTTTTAAGATGAATAAAAGGCTATCTGTGCATTTTGTGGAGGGAGACTGCATGTCATAGGTCACTATTTTAACTTAAATGTGTTTCCAGGGTGATATCAAGGCCCTTCCGCTGTTGACATCATGTGAGAGTGAAGACAGCATCTGCCAGCTAATTGGTGAGTTTTGAAAACATACTGCCCTCTTCCGTGAGCCTAACTAGCGATCTTGGTTTGCAAAACCACACGGCTTTTACTTTACTAGGAATTTGTTTTCTAAGTATTCTGAGAGACCGCAGAACATTAACCCTTGACTGGAACAGCAGGGGAAGACTTCTGTAGGAGGGAAGACTGTCTGCAGCCTATGGCCCCAGCTCCACAGGGGGTTTCCAACCAGGCTGGCAAATTTTGGGCCTTGTAAACCCTGAGGATGGAAGCATACACACATTGGAGAAACACATACTGCTCTTCCCACCACTTGCTTCCTTCTTTAGTGGAGACTGCAACCACTAAGAGTTCATGGGTAATTGTTGCTGATCTCAGTAAGATCAGCGTCCACTCTTATTCTCTTTCATAACATGTTTCGTTACAGTGGGCATCAGATCTGATCACCCCTCCCAAAGTATCAGGATGAGCCCTCACTGTTCTGTCTGCCTTCCACTTTTCAGTGCAAACTATGGAAAAACATAAACCAGTTGTTTAGGAAGCACAGCCTTTAAAATTAGAAGGGGAAAAAAGAAAGATAAAGGGGGAACTTTTTGAGTTCGGATACCATTGCACACAAGTTTTATGGTTATCAGAAGGGTCGGATACTTGGCAAAGCACCGGCCACCTTCCTGGAGAACCATGTATTAGCTTCTGAAACTCGCAGACTGCAAAATTCCCTGGGTGATGTAGCCCCCTCTAGTGGTGGTTAAGTGCTAAAGCGGAGGTGACAGGTCAGCCCTGCTCAGAACCTTTGAAAGATCTTGAGCAAGACGCTTCCTGTCTTTGTAACTTTCACATTCAAAGAAATAAGTTAAAATAGTATCCATTGAGCAGAAACATTCTCTGTAGTTATTAGGAAGAATGCGTTAAAACATTAAAATGGGTGGCTTTGACCCACACAGTTAAATTCTGCTAGTTTTCTGTACCTAATAGCTGTGAGGGTGAAAACAGGAAAGGTGGAGCCTCTGAGGAACCCTGGTGTTGGTGTTTAGGGACTGGCTGCCCTGGAAACAGTGTGGTTGTTTGGGGGTTGACTTTTCTAGAACAAGGGTTATGCCCTTGGCCTTCTCGAATTTTCAACAGAGTTTTGTTTTTGTTTTCAACATGCTATAGATAAGATGACGTGGCCAAGACCATCCATGTTCTAGTCTGGATCTTGCCTTATTATTAACGTTTTTTTTTTTCTCTTTATCTCCTTGTTTCCTTGGCTATAGAAGTCAAGAAGAGAAAGAAAGTGCTGTCCTGGCCCTCTCTCATGAGAAAGCTCTCTCCTTCATCTGACTTCCCTGGTTCGTTGGAACCGGAGCTGAAGGTGCCACTGTTTGATCAACCCTTGTCAGTCATCTGTGGGGAAAATGACACACTCCCTAGACCCATCCAGGTAGGTGTGTGTTGACTCATAAACCTTCTTCCCTTTCTATGGGACCTGAAAGCCTTTGGGGAATCTGAACACGATGGAACTCATTGTTTGAAGCCTCCCCCCGACTTTCCGGTGCAGGGGGGCAGCCATCTGATATCCACCGACGTGCTCAGAGTGACAGACCCTCCCTCAGCCCTCTGACTTGTGGATCGAAGATGGTGGAATGTTTTTAACTTCTAAAGCTCTGCCAAGAGGGAGCAGAGGGTGTTTGTGGGAAATGTAGTGTTCCTATGAGAACATGGGGGGGGTGATTTTCAGACGTGCAAAATTAGTGCTTTCACAATTTACCTCCTCTGAGAAAAAATGAGGGGTGTCTTCGGTAGCACCGGCCTCAGTAGCTTGTGAGGGAAGGCTCCCCTGTGACAAGAGCCTAGAGATAGGCTTCCATGCTTTGACCGCAGCAACGTTTTCTGCTCCCGCAGGACATCCTCACCATCCTCTGCCTTAAAGGCCCTTCGACCGAAGGGATATTCAGGAAAGCTGCCAGCGAGAAGGCCCGCAAGGAGCTGAAGGAAGAACTGAACTGTGGGTGCCCGGTGAACCTGAACCAGCTGCCGGTGCACCTGCTGGCCGTGGTCTTCAAGGTGAGTCTGCTGCATGTGTGCCGATGGCCTGTTGGGGGCGCACTGACGGACTCACCAGGAAACCAGCCCCTGGCACTGCTCCCTGCCGGGCAAGGCCTGCTGACCTGGGAGTTTAAGTCTTTTCTTAGTTACATTTTTTAATTACTTGTATAAGCACCTCTGTTTCAGTGGCCCCGGGCTTCAACAGAGAGGGTGGCAGGAAATTCTTTCAAAATATTACTTGATCGCCCCCATGGCCAAGTCCATTCATAAATCTGGTCTCCCCAGAGTCCACCTAGCTATGGACAGTGGGTCTTATTGTGCTGGTTACTGGGGGGTTCCAGAGCACAGTGTGAGTTTGGAAGAGGCTCCCTAAAGGACGTAAACATGGGGCGTGGGACTGGGTGAACCGGGGTGCCCCGCACCAACAGCAAACGCACCCCTTTCTCCCTCCAGGACTTCCTCCGAGGAATCCCCCTGAAGCTCCTCTCCTGTGACCTCTTCGAGGAGTGGATGGGCGCCCTGGAGAAGCCCAGCGAGGAGGACAGAATCGAGGCCCTAAAGCAGTAAGTCCTTAGTCACTGCAGGACGCGAGACCTCCGTCCTTCCTGCTTCACAAGCCCGTGCACAGCCTTGGGGATCCCTGTCTCACGGAAAGTGGGGGGTCCAGGGAGTCTTAGTGGAATTGTTCATCTGCTCCTGTCACAGAAGCCAGAAGGAGCCCTGGGTATTAAAAAAAAAAAAAAAGTACTTCTACCCAAACGAGAGAAAGGACTTCTTAAAAAGCAGAAAGTAAACTTCAGTTCTCATAGGTCCAAGATAGGAGAGAACCTAAATACAGTAGTTTTAAAAGGCACAGAATAAACTCAGACTGTGAACGCTTTACCACAGGCTAGACAACAGGGTTGGAGTTATCCTTGACTTCATCAACTGGTGTCCCTGGTGCCGGCCGCTCTTCTCTCATAAGCGCTTTCTGCACGGCAGAGCAACTTGGGATTGTTTCGTTTCTAAAACTCCACAGTCAACTCTAAATTCTATGGTTAACAAAAACAAATTCCAATAGTTAGCAGTAATCATATTAAAAAATGAAAGTGTGACCTCTGCGTAACCAGAGTCGCAAACGTCTTCCGTTAAGCTGTCTGAACCTTTGCCACATCTTCAGAAAGTCCACCGACATGTAATACTTGTCCCCGCAGCCAAATAGTTCCATGAAATATTTTGCAAAAGGTGGATAGCTTTGTCCACCCTCACGCCCAGAATTCTAAGATTATCACAATGAGTTTGTACTTGGGCATACAACTTTTTTATGAAAACAACACTAAGAAATTGAAAGGATCCATGTGTTGGGTTCATTTCATTTTTTGAAATACCAAAATGTAAAGACACAATCTAATCTGTTACCACGAGGACAATGTTTGCATTAAGTCCTGCCTGCCTCTAGTTATAAACATGCTTTTATAGACTGATGGATTCTATCTAAAGATTTCTCAGAATGATATGAAAATGGGTGGTCTTGCTCTAAAATTTACAGTCCAAAGAAGTGTGAGATAATCAGTCTCACAGGGCTCAAAACAGCATTCTGATCCGCAGTCATTTGGTGGTGTGACAAAACTGTTTTCAAAATGTGAGGCGGACTGTGGCGGTTACACAGGCGTTGCTTCACAGTCAGCGGCGTGTGTATGATAAAGAGAGGTACTGTTGGAGTCCCAGTTCCTACAACTTGTGGTTTCCTGGCCCCGACCCAGGTCGGCTGCTGCTGCTGCAAGGGTCTGAATGAACGTTGCACAACATTTCTTTTGGAAACGCACCTTCCTCGTTTTAAAGGAAGTCCGGTTTGGGGAGAACCTCTTGTGAGGCCAGGCTAAGGCTACACAAAAGCCCTCATCTGTCAATGTCTTCTTCCAGGGTTGCGGATCGCCTCCCCAGGCCCAACCTTCTGCTGCTCAGGCACTTGGTCTCTGTGCTGCACCTGATCAGCAAGAACGCCGAGGTCAACAAGATGGACTCCAGCAACCTAGCCATCTGCATCGGGCCCAACATGCTCGCTCTGAAGAATGACCAGAGCCTGTCCTTCCAGGCCCAGAAGGACCTGAACAACAAGGTACGTCCTGCCTCTGCCGGAGAAACTTTCTGGTCTTGAGCCCACCCTCTGTAAAAGCCAAGCATCTAAAATGCTTCTGATTTGAGTTTCTTCAAGTGACTCCGGGCCCACGGAGGAAGTCTCAACTGCAGGCTGTGTTTCTCATGGTCCCACTCCCTTACATACACATATTTGCTGCAGGGTGAAATATCTGCATCCTCTGTTGTCCTGGGAGACGGGCCAGGGGAGCAGACGTTTACAGCACTAACTCCCTGGCTGGAGAAACCACTTTGCTCTTTTCCTTCTGTGTATCACATTCTGCCTGTTCACCTAGAAATCTGGACAGCTACTTCCTTAAATAAACATTTCAGTTACTTCAAAGTAATTTTTTTTTAATCCTGAAATTTTAAAAAATGCATGCCTCATAAAATAATAAAGTGTATTATTGCCACTAATCCCAATGTGCTTTTTAGGCACATAAAAGTATCTATTTCTGCCGCTTCCCCAGTAGTTGACCCCGATATGTTCTCATTCTTTTTTATTTTCTTTTTTATGAATGTACTTAAGCTGATAAACTGCTTACGTTTTCCTCATAGGTTAAGACATTGGTGGAATTCCTCATTGACAACTGCTTTGAAATATTTGGGGAGAACATGCCGACACATTCCCGCATCACTTCTGACGACTCCCTGGAACACACTGACAGTTCAGGTACGTTATGTTCTGTCACTTGCTTGTGGTTCTGGGGAGAAGCCCATGCCAGTCCTCGATGCCCCAGGAAGTGATGTAAGGCATCCCGGGTACTGGAAGCAGGATTCACCTTCACAAGTCGGAAGTCTGTAAGGAAGTCGTTAGCCATGAGGCCTTGCGATTAGATTTACCCGCAACACCTCCTCCTGCGACGTTCTTTCTCATCAGTCTGGAATTTTCTCCTTCCTATTCTAAGGCACAGTGACTCTTAATTCTACTTAGTAAACTTTAGTTATGGGGTTGGAGTAAGGAAGTTCCAGGACTACAGTGGAATGTGAGTCCATTAAAATGGAAATTGGTCCAATACAAGAGCTACCCAAAGGATCAATCCTATGAATTCAGATCAATAAACCTTAAAGAATATTGCCAATGCCATCTTCCTTTCCTCATATGTGTCTCTTTCCCTTCCTCCTCCCTCCATTTCATTTTCCCATTTTCTCGCCATTTAAAGATCATATTAGACAGAAGCAAAGTTTTAATGTAATCAGTTTATTGTCAGATCAAGCCCCAATGCACTTCCACAAAATCACCATAGGTCTAACTAAACAGGGCAGCCTGTAGTAAATACTGTTGCCGAAAGAGCCTAGATAAAATGTTCACCTCTGCCTTAACTCTTCCCAGATGTGTCAACTCTGCAGAATGACTCAGCTTACGACAGCAATGACCCAGATGTGGAGCCCACGAGTGCCGCCACTTCTCCCAGCAGGCAGCTGGAGGGGCACGCTGGCCTGGATAACCGGGGCCCACAGGACACCTGTGAGTCAAGCTCAGAACCCATTGTTGGCATGGCAGCCAGGTTGAAAAGCTCCATTGGCCAGCAAGACAGGCGGTTCTCTGAACCCAACATGCCCCCCTCACAAGAGTGCCTCATGGGCCAAACGAGAAAACAAAAGCTAACCAAGAGTGAGGATAACTTCACCGTGCCCCAGGAAGCCTCTTGTTTGGAGGGTGATGAGGCTGAAGATCCATTTACAGAGGAGGTCTTCCCAGCAGCTGAAGGCAAGCCCAGGAGACCAGTGGATTTAAAGATAAAGAACTTGACCCAAGGTTTAGCATCATCACAGGGACTGGTACCCAAAGCATTTTCCAGAGTCTCCCCAGGTAAATCTTTGGACAGCTCACCTCTGCCTTCTCCGTCCTGTCCCAAAAGAAACTTCTTCACCAGACACCAGAGCTTCACCACAAAGACTGACAAGATCAAACCCCAGAGAGAAATTAGAAAGCATTCCATGTCGTTTTCCTTTACGTCTCACAAAAAAGTGCTGCCCGGGACCTCCAGCATGGGGTCTGAGAAATCCAAAGACTTTTCTAGAGACCAAATCAGGAAGGGTTTCAGAAAAGAAAGCCAGCTTGCTGGCAGAATCATCCAGGAAAATGAGTCAGAAATCCAAAGCCAAACAACTCTGGGCTTCAGCTTGTCTAGAACCTGGGCCCTCTCGGTTGATAACGTGTTCCAGATAGTGGATGTGAGGAATCCAGGGAGTCCACCATCGTACGAAGAGGCCATTCATTACCAGGCACCTGGACTCACAGCCTACGGTGGCCAGACGGTTGCCAGTATGAGAGCGAGAATGCTCAAATGGAACACAGCTCTGCCTTCTCGCCTTGGAGGTGACCACAGCGAAGGGACACCTGGTGGACACAGAGTGTCACCCATGACTGAGCACTGGAAACAGAGTCAGACTGTCTGTGTCTCTGTGGAAACTCGGGGGAGCTCTGAGCTGCACCGACTGAGGACCGTGTCTGAATCCATGCAGGAGGCCAAGTTGGACTGTCTCAGGCAACAACACATGGTCTTTGAGGTTGACCAACTCCAGTGTGCTAAAGAATCCTACATTTAGGAAAGGAGACCTTGGTGTATGTGAATGTATTTCTGCACAGAGAACTGTCAATTCTACAAGAAGTCATGAATAAGCTCATTCAGAATGCTGTGCAGAGCTCTCCTCTGTGAGGATGGCTTGCACAGCGACACATCAGACTGTGTGTATAGCTGGGTTTGTGCAATATGGGGTAAATGTCTAAAATGTACTATAGACAAGGTGTTAGATGAAAGGGGTGTCGTGTACATAAACCCCCGCATGCATGCATTTATGTACTCTCTATATATTGCTGGTTTTCGTCCCCAGGTGCATGTTTCTATTATCTTTACTTTTCTTAGTTACCTCAGATGTCTTGCCGGTGTTCACATTTTCCAAGAGCTGCGTGTAGGTAGAAATGTCGGGACCTCTCATCTAAGTCGGTTTTCCTAAGCAGGCTTCTGACAACTAACCAGCATAGTGGAAGGAGAACACTGAGAGACACTATGCGCCATGTGGGAGCTGTCAGTCTGGCAGGAGGTCTTTCAATATCTAATGGAATGTGGGCGGCGCAGTGGAAACGCGTTGTGTCGGTATTAACTCGTGCAGAGCACTTTGAGCCTCTGCAGTTCAGTGGCGTCTCGTGCAACAGTGTGGAGTAACGTGATGTTGTATGCATTGAGGGGTCATGTATAAAACTGCAGTGCAGTTTCACTACAATAAACTGCCTTCCTCCTTTAGAGTGCCCACTCTTGGCTGGTGTTATCCCTTTTCCTCGATCAATAAGAATCCATCAAGAACATTATCCACATCTGGTTCATTCAGCCAGCATCTGTTCACTATATTCTCATTGTTTCAGGCTGTCACACACCTTGGGGAGCTTGTGTCCAGGAGATGTAGTCTCTGTTCTCTGGGGATCTGAGACACTTTTTTCTGCAAGCAGTCATTCAGGGGGACAGAAAAAACTATAAGACACAAGATAATCTGAGAGGTGTAATGCTTCCTTCCCATTTGTAATGTCTAGTGCCTTTACGTCTCTCACTTTCGTGATGTTCAGTTTCCTTTGTCATTAGCACTCATAAGGATAAATATTTATGATCTTAGAATTTTACTACTCAATGGCGAAGTTATTTATCCAAATTTTTTTATAGTACTGGGCTCCAATCTTCCTAATTATGTTCATTTTTATGACACTGTATACACTCCTGATTTTGGTCTAGTTAATGAGTAAAAAAGATCTGATTCTTCCTCAGAGGTGATTTACTGAGAATTTGGTTAGCCATGTTGTAAACTGGGTTGTTCAAGCAACATGATCAAAATTAACATTTAAAATGCTCTATTATGCTGGGCGGTGGTGGCGCACACCTTTAATCCCAGAACTTGAGAGGCAGAGGCAAGTGGCTCTCTGAGTTGGAGACCAAACTGGTCCACATAAAAATAAAAATAAAAAAATTTAAAAAAAAAAAGAGCTCTTCTAAGGACTTGGAAAGATGGGTCAGCAACCAAGAGCACTTATTGCTCTTGCAGAGGACTGGGTTCAGTTTCCAGCACCCATATAACTCCTCACAACCACCTATAATTCCAGTTCCAGGAGATCTGATGCCCTCTTCTGGCCTCCAGTCATGCACATGGTGAACATATAAACAAAACATAATACATAAAATAAAATCTTTTTTTAATGCTCTGTTAAGCACCAATAATAAATCAATATCAAAGGGCAGGCCATCAACCTCTGATGGGTAAAAGAACAAAGGTAACCCCTTCTCAGAGCTGAAAGCTAAGGGAGGTATGACTTTAGTACCTACCACATGCCCGGCGCTAGGCTGAGTCTCAGTGTTAGGATAAAATGATCTTCCACCAGGCTCTCAGTGAGATAGATACATAGGTAGGTAGATAGGTAGGTAGGTAGGTAGACAGATGATAGATAGATAGATAGATAGATAGATAGATAGATAGATAGATAGATAGATAGATAAATGAATGATAGAGT